TTTTAACTCAAATTTTCTAAAGGGTATATACACACTTGATTTAACTTTAACTTGCGTGAAGGAGCACTACTGAAATATAAATAGTTTGGAAAATGAACAATACCACTCACACTGATTAACTCCATGAAATAAATGCAAATAGGTAATCATTCAGTATTTAGTAAGTACATATATGTGCTAGGCATCATGCCAATTACTGAAGAACCAAAGGAAAAAATACGAGACCTGCCCTCCAAGAACATGTAGTTTAGTGAGAAAACATGAAAACAACTAGGAACATACAAGATAGATACAGAATAGATGGAAGACAATCTGAAAAGTAAAGGTTATTTTTCCTTTAACTTTTTCCAATAAAGTCAAATGAAAGTATTTTTGGTGAGTTAGTTTATATTCTTTAAAATTAAAGTGATAGCATTCTGTATGTTTCTTCTCTCCACACTGGATGGCTTTCAGGTGAAATTCTTGCCAACCAGTCTCAGTTTTAAAAAGTTTAATCTTTCTTGTGTATTTCTATTTACTCGAGCTCAGAACACCCTAATGCAAGACAGGCACACCAAATCAATCCCAGGCAAGGTTAGCCAGGCCAGGCCACACTGCAAAAGTGTGTTCATTTTCTCATTCTGGATCCTGCAAAGGAAAATGAGGCAATGTCTAATAGAGTTGAGCATGTGCAAGATTGAGTGCATTCCTTTTGCACTAGGAGCAGGTTATCTAGAAGTCATATGACATAGCAGTTACCATAGTTCAGTACTAACCATTGGGAGCTAAAATCACCAATGAGAAGATAACACATAGAGAAAGTCATCACCTTTCTCTACATTTTTCCACTGTCCTTTGTAAAAAGTGTTGAAATTTTCTGGGATGATTATCCATTACTTCCCCTCCTCAACCATTTCATGCTCCCGCAGAGCCAACTTGCTGCTGCAATCACATGACGTCGGATTTCTTGCCTCCCTGCATTTGCATAGACTATCTCTGGGAAACGTTGTCCCTTCTGACCTTTACTTCTTGAAAGCACTACCTAGCTCTTTTTAAGGCTCAGCTCTAGTGATATTAACTTCAATCAATCATTCAACAAGAATGTATTAAGCATCTACTCTATGCAAAGAACTTTGCAAGGTGCTAGGCACATAAAAACATGGGATTAAATAGCACCTGTCCTCAAGGAGCTTACATCCTGTGAAGAGAAACAATACGTACATTTTGTCATTGTCGTTATTGTTATTGTTGAGTCAATTCAGTCATGTACAACTCCTCAAGACCTTATTTGGAATTTTCTTGGCAAAGATACTGGACTGGTTTGCCATTTCCTTCTCCAGCTTATTTTACAGATGAGGAAACTGAGGCAAACAGGGTTAAGTGATTTGTCTAGAGTAACACAAATAGTAAATATTTGAGGCTGGGTTTGAATTCAAGTCTTCCTGACTCCATTTCCTTTCCAATTTTATACCTTCCATAGAATGTAAGTTCCCTAAGGTTAAGGAACTCTTCATTTCTGTGTTTGTATCACCAGCACCTGTCATAGTACCTGGAACATATTAGGTGCTAATTAATGGTTGTTGATTATTTGCTTGCTGTGAAGAAAACACTTGTGAGCAAAGCATTTCCTTGATTCAATGTAATGTGTATATGTCTACAAGGAATAGGACAAGTCAACATTCAATTAAAACAAAATCCCAGTATTTGACTCAAAAGAGTTTTAGACTTGGAAGGGACCTGAGAAATCATCAAATCTAACCCCTTCATTTTACATTTGAGAAAACTGAGGCTAAGATGGATTAAAGTGTAACAAAATTAGTAACTGGGCAAACTCCTCTTGTGATGTCAGATTCATCCTCTTTCAGTATAACCTACCAAAGAAAGGACTGGATTTTGTAAAAAGAAATCTTAGCCCAACATTAATTAAAGAAAGAAAATTACTTTTAATGGGACATCTGTTTATCTCACCCTCAAAATAACCTTAGTTTCCAGCTTCACTTATGTTATAGGGGACCATATATGAAGCTTATACTCAAATTACTGACTTAGTCTTCTAATAATACTCCCCTAAAACAAAGAAAAATTAGGTTTGAAATTTAATGAAAGCTTATTGTAAAATTTGTCAATACATGATAGACTTCATTATGCTGAAAGTCATATCATACTCCAACCAACAATGCCATTCTTACTCTAACACACACACACACACACACACACACACACACACACACACACACACACACACACACACACACACCCCTTGAGGCAGATGCCATCTAGGTCCCTGAAATCTAGGTTCACAGTGAGTGTTATTGAAAATGACCTCATTAAGGATTGGGAGGTCTACCTTTCCTGCTAGGTAGAGGAATTATCCTCAAAAGAGCAACCCAAATGACAATGATTTTTTGATTGTAACAATTTACTAGATCTTCAAAGACTTTTAAACTTCCTAGTGCCCATTTATAAGGCAAATATTTGGAGAGCAGTTACACCCTTGACAAGGTGAGTTAAGACACAGAAGAAAGAAGAGCTGTCCAAAGGAGGAAAGGGACATTGAAAGAATAAAATGAGACCATCAACACCATATTCTACCTATTTAACTTGTTATGTTAGGGTTCTACTCTATGCAAAAGAGTATAGGATATTTTAAAAGTCTTAGTGTAGATTTAAGTTTACAAAACTTTAAAAGAATAATGCTAGAAAGGGGCAACTAGATGGCACAGCAGATAGAGTGCAAGAACTGAAGTCAGGAAGCCTCATGCTCCTGAGATATCTGGCCTCAGAAACTTACAAGCTGTGTTACCCTGGGAAAGTCATTTAATCCTGTTTGCTTCAGTTTCCTTATATGTAAAATGAGCTGGAGAAGGAAATGGCAAGCCACTCCAAAAACACTCAAATGTGGGTCATGATGAGTTGGACTTGACTAACAAAAAAATGCTTAAAAATTACCCCCCAAATTTTGAAAAGTTAATTATTTAAAATTTCAAAATATTAATGTTTCTTATTAAAATTCAATATAACCTCAATTTTGTGCTGTACATCATTCTAGTGATTTTTTGGACTTTGCAAAAACTTTCATCAGCTGTTGCTCAGTGACTGAAAGGATTCCATTTGTAAGCCTAGCCGTAAAAGTATCTGAACATAAGGTTTTGATACATTTAGAACAGTTTTGACATGGCCCCACAAGAAAACCCTAACGGAGACAGATGTAAGTGAGGTAGGCAAGCATAAGTCTGAGAAAGTGCCATCCAGAAACTGTTGCAATACAATACATGACAGAATGTTCTACTGCATTAAAATTAAAACAATATTTTTTAAAATTTACAAATGCAAATAAATATAAAATGAAATATAAATAATTAAAACTCCAAGTGATATTTTTGCAAGTTTGTAGCTTTTATACATTTCAAATTATTAAAGCTTAAAGTTGCACTAAGACCTTTTGGACACCCTGTGTAATAAAAATAGTACATCAAACCTTAACTTTGAAAAATTAAATTGTATTTGAACCTTTATTGGCAGAATCATTCCTCAGGTTTGCCTATCAAGGTGGTGCATCTAAAACTAAACAACCAGAACAGGTTTATCCACCCAATTTTCCTACCCTATTCCTCAAATTCCTGTGTTAGACATTGTCTCACAACATATAACTTACCTCTTTTGTTTGCCATCCTGTCCATTGATCTGTCCTACCTTGCTTGACCACTATTGGCTCTCCTTGCACTGTTCTCTGGATATTATTTTATTATGCCTATTTGACTTCTTCAAAAAGAATTCTGTCTCTGTGTGGTTGTTATTTATATATAGGAATAAGATAAGAACTGAGTCTGAATTGGGTTTAATGCAAATGTTTCTCGTTAGGACATTGAATAAGGTTCTATTCAATTCTAAAAATTCTCTGCTAAAGTAAAAAAACAAACACAAAACCACCCTTACTTGAGAATATTTTTTCCTTGTCTTCAGCTTACATTTATCTTTGATACCAGAATTCACATAGTATGATAATTTTAAGCTTTATGGTGTATCAGAAACAAATTATTATCTTGTAGATGAAATTCTCAAAGCTTACAATATAAAAATGTTCCCAACATCAATAAGTTTGCATGGTGGGAAAACTTAAGCAAATGCAATTTTATATTAGATTTATTAATATTAATATTTAAAAAAAGAAACTGACTTTAAAATTTTTACTTAGTAATGACCTAAAAGCTTGTTAGGGATTTATTCTTACAGAGATTTAGTTAAATTGTGATTGAATTTAAACTTTGGGAGCAACAAATTAGAATTAAGTCAGATAAGTATTAATGTTTTTTTTTTTAAATCATGGGCACAAGTTATATTATCTAATGTTGGTGTTCTTTCTTTGTTTTGCCAACAAACTGCCTCTAGGTGGCACAAAAGATCCTTTACTGTAAAACAAACAACAATAAAGACCCCCACCCACCCACACCCCCCCCTGCTTTTTATGGTGATATTTACATTTCCAGTTACAGTATAGCATCTCCTAAAAGTCAGCATTTAAGCTCTGAGAAACTTAGTTCTTTCAACACATTTCAAAACCAGAAATTGAATGTCTAAAAGAGAAATGAGTAATGTACAATCAAAAGAGGGGAGCAATATCCACATTGTAATATCCTTATTTATGTCATTTTTATAAAATAAGTAATTCTTCAGTGCATATCAAAGACAGTCATTTTAATTTAAATATGTCCATAAAACATCTTATCTCTAATGAACATAATTTTGTTTAAAATGTCTGTTGGCTATTTAGTTAGGAAAGGCTCATCTAGATCTTCATTGATTATAATCAGCTGGGGGGTGAAAAATGTTTAAGAACTGGGGTTGGGATTGGTTTTTCTTGCTTTGTATAACATTTCTTTTTTTTATGATATTATTTTCATTGATTCAGCGGCTTATTTTACAGCCTTTCGGGGGTGCTAAGTTGAGTAGCCACAACCATAAATTAACTTGTGGCCTAGCAGCCCCAAACAGCCTAGTCTACGATTTAAACACACACTTACCTTGCATAGTAGTCTCCAGGTGGAACTGCTTCCTGAAAGAACTGGAACTGGTACAAATAAAGTCCAATCAAATGCCCAGCAGAGAAGATGGCCATTAAAACGCAAAGGCAGCTGAATATCAGTGGGTCAAAAGTCCGGCACCAGGACCACCATGTGCATAATCCCAAAAATACAAAGAAATATACTGATGAAGTCAAAGATGGTAACATCATACCTGAGAGGGGAGAAATGGAATTCTAAAATACTGATATGCAACTGGAGAAGCATTCTTCAAATACAAACTACAACTAGTGAGCATCACACATAATACTAAGGCTAGGAAATAACCATACAAACAAATCTTACTTCTAATTTCTAAGCACAGTAAACTGATATGTTTATCATCATTGAAATTACTTATAAATTTGTGCATACATTTCCCTTCTCCTACAATCCATCCCTATCCCAAATTTTTAGGAGGAAATGTGCAGTTTCTTCCTTCTTATCTCCTTTTTGATAGGTTGCTTTGGTGGTCAACCAAAAGTTAATCTGGACACTTGTTCAAAAAAATATTTTGGAAATCTCTTCCTTTTCTGAGAATCAAATGAAAAATGCTCTGAGAAGTGTTAGCCATGGTAAGTGTTATGACCAAGCTTTCAAAGGCTTCTAAGCTAAGGAATTTACTTGCCTAATCTTTTTCCCTACTTTAATGAACAAAGTTATCTATTTTAAAGTAGGGATGTTCCCATAAAAATTTTGGTCTATTGCAATGCACAGGTGCTACTAATTCTCTAGATGGACTACGATTTCACTAAGCTTTATAATAATGCAGCAGGTCATGGAAATTTATAACATATCAAAATTTTGTTCTACCTTATAAAATGTGGTCATACCTATGTTATCAGTAAAGGAATCATGACACAAGCTAGCTAAGCCACAGGGCTTGTGAATCCATCTCAGCAGTTCAGTTTGAGACAATTTTTTTAATCCATCTATTGAGTAGCATCTTTGGCAACTGAAATATCTTCTTACAAACTTTTTTCCTTCAAAACTATTGATGCAGCTCCTGTTTCCATAATCTAAAATGGTCCTGTGATCCTGGTTTTGTGAGATATACAGTCTCCTCTAATGCTGTGATTAAAAAGCCCAAAGGGAGTAGGGTGTAGAAGATAGAACTCTCATCATTATGCATCCGAATCAGTTGGCCAAAATGAGAGGAAAATACTGAGGGAGGAGTGTGGGGGAAGAGTTAGGGAGAGGTTATAAGCTAAATTAAGAAGAATACTCTGTGCCTAGTAGTTGGATTAAGACAATGTGGTCACAAATAAAATATGGATATCTATATTGCTCATGCCCTTATGCCATAAAATTTGCATTTATAGATTATCTGCAATACAATTTATTATCAGGAAGAAATAAAAGCCTGCAAGGAAGGAGCACACTTGTAGGAGGAATCTGAAAGTGGAGAAAGTTGGCAGAAACAAACTTATCAATGGGCCATGACATTTTTCTGGCATCAAATAACATTTATACTATACAATAGAATTTAAGTGGGGGAAAAAAATCACCCAAGGTTTAATCATGAAACCACCTCTCTGAGAACTCCTGTTATTAATTTAGTAGCATGGCGAGGTGGAAAGAATGCTGTTTCTAGAGCCAAGGGGCTTATGTTTAGATACCTACGCAAGCCAGTTACCCTTCTTGGGTCTCAGTTTCTTCATCTGTTAAGCAGAGGAGTCTCTGAGGTCTCTTCCAGGTTTACAAGTTAGATAAGTGGCTATTTTTTGGGAACATTTATTTCCTGATTTCTCAATGTGCCAAATATTCATTTGCTACATGTTTAACCCAACTGAGCTCTTTGGAAACTACAAAAAGCACCAACCTGTTGAACCAAGTAAGATGGTCACAACAACTTTTCCAGCAGTAGCGATCATATTGCCAATGAACTCTTTCAATCTGGAAGCGAGCGAGGCAAACCTACGCAATATTTTTAATTTTGTACTTTCTTCCAGTTCCCCTTCAATAGCATCTCCTGCATCTAAATCCTCTTCATATATCAAGGCTTCTTCAGAATCTGCTTTTTCTCCTCCAGCCTAAATGCAAAGCAGAAAACACTGCAATCAAGAATTCAGTATTCTGTGAGCAGGTAAACAGGGATGATTTAAAAATAGGAGGATGATATAGAGTATATTTTTTTCTCAGAACAATCCAGAAATAACATACAACTCATTAGGATTATTCCAGACTCTTCTTTTACCTTTTCCAATAAAGCAAACATAAAAAAATGCAGGTATTTAATAATAATTTTAAAATAAAATCCCTTGGTATTTAATAATTTAATAATAACACCTAATTCTCTTTACATACAGATGTTTCTGAAGAAGTAAAACTCCTAATTGGAAATAACTCTTTTTTAAAAATCTTATATTCTATCATCTTTGATTTGATTTTTTTGCCCTCAGGGTAATGGGAAATTATATCTGATCTATTCCTGGACTAGGACAGAGATTTGGGCTTAATCCAAAGGGTTTAGGAAATCCCTTTCTTTATGGAGATGGTCTTTGTTCTCTATTTCAGTGATAACTGCCTCTAGGCAAATGACTGTATACTGTCTGATTAGCAATATGAACAGCAGGTTGCTACATTTACTTTTAAATAGATAGTATAATATTACTGGTCCATCTCTTACCACTGTACTATTCTGGCATTGACATTTCTACACTGCACTTCAGAAAGGACATCATAGAGAAAGACTCCTATATTCATTCCTACAGTGCATACTTTCCCCAGTATTTTTAAGTTCAGGACCCACAAGATGTTTTAAATCTCAAAACAACAGTAAGTTTTCTCAGTCTCTTTTTAAGGTTTTAAAGGGTTAGGTTCAGAACCACCATCCAGAGCTCAAAGTAAGTCTTTCTGATGCCTCAGAAAAGAATGTCTTTTGTATTGTGATTTTCCCACATCAATATATTTCCATAACATTTTTAGTTTCATTGGAAAGACTAGTATTTAAGATACTCTTGAGATGAGAACTGAGAGATTTCAGAGAATAAAACCTGACTAATCAATTTTTTAGAGGCTCTTTGAACTAATCTGCCATCAAAACATTCACTTTGTCATTCTAATACATGAATTAATGTGATATAGAGAAAGTCATTAGAGAAATGTATGTCCTGGGGAGGGGGGAGATGGGTGGTGGTAGAGGTGGAGTTTGGGGTAGAGGGTAGAGAAAGTAGATGAGTTGCTCACTGAATGAGAGTGAGGGATGACATTCACCAATAAATACATCATAATAATTACAAAACTAAACACTAGAAATCTAAGTATACCTAATTGCCTAAGTCTTGAAGTGTCTAATTCCCTAAGTACCTAAATGCAGGTGCAGAAGTTTTTAAACAACTAATTAATTATTGTATCTTAGTACTTAAGTATTCAAGTACCTGTGTACCTAGTTATCTAAGTACATAATTATCTAATTACCTAAGTGTCTATGTTCCTAAGTAAGAATGATGAAGATTGCTTTCATATAGTGCTTACTATAAACCAGACACTTTATAATTATTATCTAATTTGATTCTCATAACAATTCTGGGAGATAGGTGCTATTATTATCTTCATTTTACAAATGAGGAAACTAAGGCAAACAGAGGACTTGACTAGAACTCAAGTCTTCCTGACTCCAGGCTCAGCAGTCTACTCACTGTGCCACCTAGCTGCCTAAATACTTGTGCTGAAGAACTTGTGTGCCCATGTCCCTTACCTATATTTAGGTATTTATTCTTACAGTTCCTTAGGCACTTATATGCATATTCATGTACATATTTAAGTACTTATGTACCTGAGTGCATTTAAGTACTTAAATACCTAAGTGCATTAATAGCTAATTGTCAAAGTATTTAAGTGTCTAAGTACCTGTGTAACTAAGTTCCTAATTATCTAAGCTGAGGCAGCTATGTGGAGTGTGGGGACCTGAGGTCAGGAATACTCTGCCTAAGTTCAAATCTGCCTCAGACTTACCAGCTGTGTGACCTACAAATTTCTTCTGAGAAGTTCAAATTCTTTCTATCCTGCCCTACAGGAAAATTGAAGGGAAAGGGAATAAGAGATGGGGGGGTAATAAAAGGGAGGGCAGATTAGGGGAAGGGGTATTCAAAGGGGTATGTTGTCTTGGGATGGGTGGAGGGGAGAGATGGGGAGAAAATTTGGAACTCAAAATCTTGTGGAAGTGAATGTTGAAAACTACAAATAAATAAATTAATTAATAAAAAGTGCAAATTCTTTACCATATAATTCCTAGAATTATTATTTTTTTTAACTTAAAGCACTGACATGATTCAATTAAGATGTTTAGAGGAAAAACTTCCAATTAGAAGATTTAATGCCCAAGATGCTATTGAAGGGAAGTTGGGAAAAAAATGCTAAGCTTTGAAGGCAGATAAACATTCTGAGAGCAGGGAATAAGGGAAGTGCCTTCAGAGTGTGGGATGACTTGTAGGAATTCATGAAGGTAGGAAATAGAACATCAAATTCATAGAATAGTTAGTAGTTCAGCCTGTCTAGAACACAGAATACATGAGGGAGAATACTGTGAAATAAGGCTGGAAAGGTAGGTCACAGATAGTGTGTTGAAGGCCTTTAACTAGACTAACAGGTTAGTTTTTTTTTTTTAACTCATATAATTAATAAGAAACCAAAAACATTTTTATGCAGAAGAGTGATATGGTCAGACTCATATACTTTAGGAAGAGTATTTTTGTTCGCTGGTGGATAGATTAGAAAAGGAAGAGATTAGAAGGGTCATCAATAATGAGGTTATCATCATTGTCCATACAAAAGGATGTGAGCCTGAGTGAGCCCTATAGAGAAGGAGAGAGGATGTTAGAGATTTTGAGGAAGTAAAATCAATAGGACATAGCAGTTTATTGCCTATTAGAAGGAGGAGATGGAAAGAGAAGAATTTAGAATGACTGGTCATGAACCTGGCAAATTGAAAGAATGATGATACCTTCAACTATAACAGCTAAGTCTGAGGAAGAGTAATGTTAATTGGTAATTAAGATTCAGCTTGAATATTTCAGATGTGAGATGCATGTGAAATTCAGGATATGTCTAGATTGAAGATAGAATGGCATTCATGAGAGGTATTATGATTCCATGTATACATATATAGGATCACAGATAGAGAGATGAAAGAGGCCTTGAAGGCCACCTAGTCTAACATCTTCATTTTACAGATCAGGAAACTGAGGCCCACGATCATGCACATATTAGCAGCACAGGTGGTAAGAATTAAAAATGAGATTTGAACCCAGGTTCTCTGACTTCAGAGTCAGCATTCTTTCTACTGTTCTACTCTGTCTTCTCATCAGACAAAGATGATAATTGAAGCCATGGGAGCAGATGATATCAAGATAAAGTGAAGAAAGAAGAGATACCAGGATAGAGATTTCTGGGGCAACCAAATTAAAAAGGTGGATATAGATGATGGATTCAGAAAGGAGACTCAGATGGATAGGAGAAGAATTAGAAGTGAATAATTATATAAGCCATAGGAGTAAAGCATATTGACAAAGAGAGGGCAGTGAAAAGTGTCAACAGCTGCTGAGAGATTAAGAAGGATGAAGACTGAGAACAGACATAAGATTCAGCATTAAAAGAAAAAAACTGGTAACCTTTGAGAGAGCAATTTGAGAACAGTGGTGTGATCAGAAGCCAGTTTAAGGATTGAGAAGTGAATTGGCAGTGAAGAAGAAGGGGAGATTGAGAGATGGAAAGGATCTTAGAGCAATCATGTTCAACCGCCTTATTTTACAGTTGAAGAAACTGAGGTACAGAGAAATTAAGTTATTATCTTTGGCTTACACAGCCCACAAAGAGTTTGAGGCAGGATTTTTAACCAGGGTCTTCCTAATTCTAAGTCTAGTATTCTATTCACTCAGTCACATTGACTAATGAAATCTTACGTTTCTTGAAATGCCTGCTTTTGCACACAGGAATAAATCTTTGAATATGACCCTTTCTGTCTAGAAGCTTGGCATGGTATTCAGAGTCACTGATTTAAAGTAAGATGACAAAGAAATAACAGTTTTAATGCCACCAGACCACGGTTAGAAAAAAAACAACCTCCATAATAAATGCCTTATTATGCAATTAGAGAATCCCTAAGGATGCTGATTAAATCAAATAAACCTATCTAGTAACTTGTGAGGTCATAAAAATTTGTTTCCATGACCTTTCCTCAGCAGGACAGAGGTCTCACAAATTTTATAAACATACTATTTAGTTGTTTTTCTCTCTCTGAAAAATCCCAGGGGCTTTCATTTAAGAACACTTTTAAAACTGACAAACTGAGATAAACCACAGACAAAGAAATAAGATTGTCTCTATAAGTTGCTTCCATCCTGATGAGGGCCAGAATGTCCATTAGTCATCTCAAGTCCTGGCTTATTAATGTCCTAGTTTAATTTTTTTTCATCTGGTAAAGTATAAACACTGCAGCACTGGAAAAATCCTCAATTCACAGTAATGTATTTATGAACAAGTAACCTTAGTTGGATTTGAAATATATTTGCATTTTGTTTCAGCTAGAAAGCTGATGTATCATCACTAAAAATAAAAACTCAGCTCCTTGATTTATTTTTCCTTTTCTGGTGAAAGAAGATAAAAGGAAATCATGAAAATCTTAAATTTTTTGGATAAAAATAAAATCTTATGCATTTCATATAATAGGATTGCCACTATTACAAACTACAAAGTTCTTCTGAAAATGCAATTTCTTCACCCCAGCATTCACCCTAGAATTACTTTTTTTAACTTAAACCACAGACATGATTCAATTAGAATGTTTAGAGAAAAACTTCTACTAAGTAAAGCACTCTAGAAGGGGCTGCTTCAGAAGATACCCTTCTTACCCCTCTCATCTCTAGAGGTTTCCCAGTAAAGGCAGGATGGCCACTTGTAGAGTATATTGTACAGGGATTCACATTCAGACATCCATTGAATTAGTTGGTCATTCAAGCCACTTCTAATTCCAATATTCTATAATAGCTTTACCTTTACTGCTATACTAGATTAAATGATATGTATTCAAAGA